GATAACAACATATGAAATATATCATGGAAGAGAGGGAGAAATGTAGAGTGAAGGTACATCGTAGTCGTCGTCCTCACGCTTCCTCTTGGCACTCTCCTCCACCTCCATTTTGATAACTGGCGTCCCTTGTCCTGCAATCTGGATTTTGGGCTTTGGGGCTGTCGAGGAGGTCCCCGAAGACGCTGAGCCTGTGAAAGTCGTGGTATATTGATTAAATTCTCGTTTTATTAAAAAACGGGTATTTGAGCTTACGGGGCTGGATTTTTACGATGAATTTGTAGACGGAATTTTCGGGAGGGGAGCATCTCAGGAGCGATTTGGGAACTGGGAAGATAATTTTCATATTATTATCGATGAAAACTGAAATTGTAGGGAAATTACTTTCAGGATTTTGAGTATTTCGAGAATTAAAAAATTCCGATGATTTCACATTTTTTATTATTTTATGTGAGTTTTGATGGGAAATAATGAGTCACCTGTTGAAAACTTGAAGACTGGTTTTGGTATAGAAATAGTCTGCGTCCTGGCGATCGTAGACAAAGTGGTTCCAGGTCTCTTGACGATGGACATAGGCTTGTTGGAATCGACCTTGAGTCTCGACGATCCACTGAGACTGTTCCCAACGAGAGCGTGCATTTTTCCCGCCTGCTTTTTCGTGATATTTTTCAATCTGTAATTCGCTGAGTTGAGGCAATAACGATCTGGGGGAAGTCTCAGGCCGTTGTTGGGCTTGACGAATGGCAGGGGAATATTATTTTTGGATTTTGCAACGTCCAGGAGAACATCCCGAGGCGGTGGATTCGTGAATGTACGATCCAGCTGCATTTTTACTGCTAATCTCACATCTTCCAGATCAATAAACTTTTTCTTCGCGTGATTTGCGTAGATTTTACTGTCATCCAGGATGCAGGTGATGTAGCCTCAAATCAGAATTCATAACAAATTGTTTTCAATCGTATAAAATAATGGAATATATTGGGAAAATTTATCGACATACGATAGGTGAATTCGAGGAGTTGATTGATAACTTTTGGTTCGTAATCTGTGATCCCCATGTCCTTCATAATAGACATTATAACCTGTGCATCCTTTGGGACGTGTTTCACGTGTGATACAGACTTTGTTTTCTCCGCCATTTTAATTATTTCACTCAGATATCCATGTACTAACAATTACTCCCTATTGTGACGGATTTAGGGACGAGAAATGATGTAAATAGTGGATTATTTTGAGAAAACGACGAAAAACACTCGATGCATCATACGTCAGACGCCAGTGCACTGACCAAAGAGGATTGACTGAAGTAGAGGCTCAGTTCTGGGGGTTTGAGTGACCCCAGCAGCATCGTAGTACTATACCCCAAGAGAGGGAGGGCGCCAGACGCAATGCTGGGGTGTAAGGTATGATGGAAGGAGGTGTTGCCAAGCTTTGATGTCGC